CTAATCAAAATATATTTTCCATTTTGTTCACGTTTTAGAAGATGGTAACCATCATCATAGCCAATCCATATACATCTTTCAGCTTTCTTGGACATCTTTTTTCGCTTCTGTTTAGGAACATGTGCATAGCATTCTGAGCGAATTATTCTCAGATGTTTCAATGATGGCTTCCTATTAAACCAGAGTTCATATGGAGATTTATTTGGTACTGGAGTAGGTCCAGTCCTGTTGAGGATGTACGTCGCAGTTGATATTAATTCAGCCCAGGTGGCAACGGGTAATTTTGAGCGTGCATCATACTTCTAGCGGCCTCGACTAATGTCCAGTTTTCACGCTCACTGCTTCCATTTTGTTGCAGCGTCTACGGCATTGTAAGTCTTTGAGATGTACCTTCCTGTCGAAGTATTTTTCTCACTTTCTCATTGTCAAATTCTCCTCCATTGTCTGAGATGATCACTCTTTAACTGAATATCCGGCCACTTTATATTCTTGTAGTACTTGCTGTAATTTCAAATGTAGTAGAAGTACTTTTTTTTTATTTGAAGAATTCCGGAAAAGGTCCACAAACGTCAGTATGAATGACCTCTCCTGTTGTCTTAGCTCGTTCTCTAATCCCAAATTTCCGTCTGTACATTTTTCCATAAATACAGCCAGTGCCTAATTCAGAATCCAGATTAACTTTGAGTCCAAGCTCGTGTCAAATAACCTTCTTAACATGCCTTTTACTTTGGTGGGCAAACCTTTCATGACAAAGTTTTCTCTCTTTGATATGAATTTGCTTTTATCTAACATGTCTTGTGCAGCGGGAACTGAGAAGAGGCTTCTTTTAATTTCAGGAACATACCAAACATCATGTAGTCTAATGTTTAACTTTTTACCGTTTACAGTAGAAATTTTATCAAACGCTCCTTTTGCAATAGCTTTAATCGTACCACTTGCTGTTGTCACTGTGTTATCTTGTTTGAGGTATTCAAAAGTGACAAAAATGTCATTGCGAAAGGTGACTTGATGAGTGGCACTATTGTCGACATACCAATTATTTGGATCTTCAACTACAGTATTCATGGCTTGGCTTGTAGTGATTTGCATTGCCAAAATGTTCGTTTAGTTGGTATTTTGGGAGACTGTTGGCTTGGGAGGTCTTCCCGCAGAAATCCATAACCATATCAAGGTCCGATTTAAGGATTTATTTAATCAAATTAATATTTTATGAAAAGTTGTATATTAACATCACAGAAAGAACAGACATTAAGAAAAGAACAACAACACTCGACACAACTCTATGATGTAGTAAAAATCTTCAGCCAGTGACTTCAATGTAGTAAATAAATAGTTGTAAGAATTAATTAATTAATTAAAAAATACATGTTAATAAAGTTTGTCATAAAAAACAATATGATTTCACTAAAAATCAATTTCTACACCTTCCTATTTTCATTTCCACATTACGAGTTTCACTTCTTCTGCGCGCAAGGACTCCACGCACAATTTTATTTTTTTTAATTTCGGTACTAAAACCACAAAACTTTGAATGGTTCATCGGTGGTAGGTAGGCGCAGCAGTCTCGGCTGTTGCATGAATGGGCAGACGCGTCCGGTTAAGTACCACGACCTCACAGAAGGCCAGCGTAAAGTGGAAGTATGGAAAGTACTTTCGCGTTTCGTCTGGTGAGTGAGGTAGCCGGAGCCCAATTTGCAAAAGGTTGTCAACGCATCTGTAACCTTCTGCTGGTTATGGTGTAGCAGATGTCCATGGGCGGCGGTTTTCACTTATCATCAGGTGAACCGTCTGCTCGTTTGTCAACTTTTAACAAAAAAAACAGAAATCGAGGGCAATCCTCAAATGTTATAGGCGTAGACAATGTTTTATTAGTTTCCTGTTTGAAGTCGGTTTTTTTTTTGTTCAAAATTATAGATTAACAATATGAAATAGACATCGAGAAGGTATTCAATTACTTTACTTTAAATTCAAGGAATAGAAAAAGTTAAATTTAGCGGTATGAATGTATTGTTTATTTTTTATTTGGATGTTATTGTTAAGTTCTAATAGTGAAAAATGACACATGATCTAAAATTATAATAAAAATGACTATGCGTGTACTTAGTACGCACGTAAGAAATTATACTTCTTCAGGGTAGCAAAAAAAATCTTCTTCATTATCCACTGTGCGTCTTTGTTTGTGAAAAAGGTTTTAAATGCAGTTGATAACGGTTGAGAGCCGTGATAGCTCAGTGTCCGGGCGCTCGCCTTTAATTCAATATACTCGGGCAACCTGAGTTCGATCCCCGGTGCCGGCACCAATGAAGTTTTTACCTTTAAGTTCTGACTTAGGAAAATATCGTGAGGAAACCTGCATATTTTCGAAATAATAACAAAAAAATATATTTCGAAAATATGTGAAGTCCGCCAATCCGCAGTGGAGCCACGTGGTGGACTATGCCCTGATACCCTCTGTATAGAGGAGGCCTTTGCCCAGCAGTAGGACATGTATAGGCTGTTACTGATAACGGTTTAGTTACATAATTTGGAATTTTTAATACATCCAATATTTACAACATTTAAGCCCGGTTTCTCAAACACTTCTTACAGATCCGACGGGCATGAGGTGGCCGGGCGCTCGGGGCGCCTAGCCTGAACCTCGGATTCTCAAATACTGATCATCGTAGAAATTAAATAGTCAGCTATCAAATGTCATTTGAGTTGCCAAAAGGATGGTTAAACTCTTTGAATTGATCATTCTGATCATAAAGAAGATCATTCTGATCAATTCAGAGAGAGGCATGATGCTAACAACGCTAGCTGCATTTCCTTGCTTAATAGTTATGCTCAATCTTTGAGCGAGAAAAAAACCAGCCCTCTTGTCACCACCCGTAGCTTTAAGCCTAGGAAGTAAACCTATCAAAAATTTCGATGTAGGGGGACTCCACGGACCCAAAGTTTCTATAATTCACAACTATGTACCATTTGAAATAATAGGTCGCTTTGCAACCAACTTCATCATATCGTTTTTCAAAAACTCGCAGGCAACACACGCCGCAGGAAACTGAGGCATCGCTTTATGAGAAGCGGGAATGCGTAGGAACGCCTATAGTGTCAAAAGAAGAGGACCTAAACCAGACACTCACAGCCACCAAGATCGCCGTCGTATGACACGGTCCATAGCTGGCCTGAACGCAACGAAGCCGCAATGGAAGTAATGCAAAACGTCACACAAAGTACGTCTTATGCGACCGTTGCAAAAGCTACCTCACCAACACCGACTTCAACCGCTTAAACTTCAGCGCAACCTGAATTAGAAACAGCAGCAGCAGGACACCACAGAGAAGGGCTACCACCTATTGTGGAAGGAAACGAAAACTGCACGATTGGGCTGTACATTTCGCCGAATTGAGGAGAAAATTAGGCCACGGTGACGGAATAAATGTATTTAATATCTTTAATGGGTACGCTTCATACAACTTGATGACTCCGTGGCGCAGTCGCCAAGGTATCGGCGTCGGGGGTCGTGGGTTTGGTTCCCACACGGGACAACTATTTGTGTGACCCACAGATAGTTGTTCCGCATCTGGGTGTTTGTCCACGTGAAATTTATGTTTGTAAAAACGTCCTTACAACACAGGATAATGTTATCGCAAAGTAAGGGCAATGTTTTAAAAAAAACTGCCACAAACATTGCCGCAAATCGCCCAGTGCTGTTAACCGCGCCGGCCAAATACGCTAATTGCGGCCAAAGACATCCCGCTAATGACAGGCGCTGCCCTGCCTTTATAAAAGAGGCGAGAAAGAGTGGCATTAAATTAAATCCTCCGCGCCCAGAACCCTCAAGATCCATTAATAGGGAGGACGGAGGGACAACAGTCGGCGACCAACGCCAGATGGATCAAAGAGGGGAAAGCACCCACCCCCAATCTCAGCCCGCCCCCCGCCACTCGACACAGAGCAGATAGACTTAGGCGAAATCGCATTACAACACCCTAATGCGGAACATACCACTCGGAGAGATAATAGCAGACACCCAACGCCGCCCGCAACTTATTCTGCCCCCGCCGCCGCCACTCTAAGAACCACCTCCACTAAGGTCACAACCTTTTTTTTTTATGTGAAAAGTTACCAAACGAGCAGACGCTTCACCTGATTTTAAGTGAATACCGCCGCCCATGAACATCTCCTACACCCGAGGGTTTGCAGATGCGTTGACAACCATTTTGGAAATTGGGCTCCGGCTACCTCACTCACCAGACGAAACGCGAAAGTTTTTCTCATACTTCCACTTTACGCCGGTCTTCTGTGAGGTCGTGGAACTTACCCGGACGACCCTGCCCATTCGTGCAACAGCCGAGGCTGCTGCGTGGCTCTACCACCGTCAAATTAAATTTTGTTCACTTTATTTACATATTAAATTAAAGTAATTTTAGTTGATGCCATTAACATTTTGCATACTATTTATAATAAGCTTAACATGTCGTTCAATATTAATGATACACACATCTATACTATATGTATAGTTTATAGTACGAAGCATAAAATTGTGGTATAAATACCATAATTATAGGACAAATACAACACTGCATCCGCGACGATACTAGTCATAGAAAAAAGGTTTTATTTCTGTTCATTTTTATTTTTTACGGCTTTGAATCATTAACTGATTATTATTAGCCTGAAATAAATTTTAATTAAATATCGCTTTTGATACGATTTCGATATTCAATTTTTTATATCGATTTATCGGATCAAAATATATCGGCCAAAAATATCGATATATTTTTTAAAGAATATGGATACATCGATATTTTTTCGGTATCTATATCAATCCCTATTTTCTTCTCTCACTCACTCACTCTGCCTTCTAAAGAAGCTTCTGTTATGAATTTTTATTTAATGAGTTTAAACTTGCTTTTATAAAAGGACCTAAACATCATTTTTCATGAAATCATAATAACTTTCAAGTAATATTTTAAATATGTTTGTAATAAAACTACATAAAAAGTAAAAAAAAAATGGGTAATGTTTACATTTCGTTTGTTCTCTCAGTGTTATATTTGTTTGTGATAACTAAAAGTTCACGTGTTACTGTTTATCAAGGAGATACTTTACTACACCATGGGCGGTGTGAGCCAATAACTATGCCACTTTGTCAGAATATTAGATATAATCAAACTATTTTTCCAAATATATTGAATCATGCAAAACAAATCGATGCAAGTCAAGAAGTATTACAATTTACATCATTAATAAAAGTAAACTGCTCTCCGGATTTAAAATTCTTTCTGTGTTCAGTATTTGCACCTGTATGTACAATTTTAGAAGAACCTATTCCACCCTGCCGACATTTATGTGAATCTGCTAAACATAATTGCGATAAGTTAATTAGAGATTATGGATTTCCTTGGCCAGAATATTTAGAGTGTACAAAATTCCCAACAGCTGGAAAGAATGTCATATGTGTTGGTGATAACAATGGAACTCAAGAATCTCGTCAAAACATAGAAACAAAAGTACCAAAGGTAGATTTTAAAGCAAGCATTGACAGAAATCCAACAAAACAACAAGGGGCAAGAGATATTGGTTTTGTTTGTCCTGTTCAGTTTAAGATACCGAAGAATTTGGATTTAGAATACTCTTTGAGGGTTGGAGATAAAGTAGAACATGACTGTGGTGCACCCTGTAATGGTATATTCTTTAGCCAAGATGAAAAAAACTTTGCCAGATTTTGGATTGGAATATGGGCATCGCTTTGTGCTTTGGAGTTGTTTATTCACAGTTTTAACTTTCCTTATTGATACAGATCGTTTTCGATATCCTGAAAGGCCTATAATATTTCTCTCAGTCTGTTACCTTATGGTTGCAGCATCTTATGTAATGGGTTGGAGTGCTGGTGATGCAGTGAGTTGTCAAGGTCCTTTTCCACTTACCATAAGTGGAACAAGATTGCCAAATATATCAGTTATAACGCAAGGAACAAAACATGAGCCCTGTACAATTCTATTCATGATTGTGTACTTCTTTAGTATGGCCTCGAGTATTTGGTGGGTTATATTAACCCTGACATGGTTTTTAGCAGCTGGATTAAAATGGGGCCATGAAGCAATAGAAGCAAATTCACAATACTTTCACTTAGCTGCTTGGGCAGTGCCTGCAATAAAAACCATATCTATATTAGCAATGGGAAAAGTTGATGGTAAGTGTTCAGGCATTTTCACTATTTATACTAAGCTTAAGTATTATTAAAAAACCTTTCTTTCGTATCTTGTTTCACATTTTTACTATATATGAAGCAATCATGCATTAAAATAATTCATTTTTTTTTTATTATTTTATCTGATGCAACTTTAAAAAAGTAGATATTCTGCCACTAGTTTATATGCCATCATAAGAACTAATACAAGGAATAAGGTAAATAATAGGTATAATGTTATTTAGGCAGCCAGTTTGTAATAGAATTCATGTTAATAATTATAAAAGATGGTTTATGCAGATGATTATAACAAATGAAATTAGATGACACTTACTGGACAAAACCAGATAAAAATATTCAGACTGGTAACTTTGAGCCTAAGTTGGAAGTAAGTGAAGTGTTAGTTAGTTAATTTATTAAGTAAATGTTAGTTAATTAAGTAAATGTATTTTTATAAAAATGTATAAAGGCACTATGCTTTAAAATTTTATTTGAATTATGTCAAAAATACAAACATAAAACAAACAGTGTTATAATATTATTATGAGTTATTGTTATCAAAACATCATCACAATCATGTTTTATTTACTAAGGTCTGTGATAAAGCCATACATGCAAAGCAAATGAAAGCTGAGTTTTTGTTGTTTCTATGAATTGGTGTCTGAGGATTTATTCAACTTACATAATGCCTGTATGAGGTATCTAAACATTGAAAGATTTTTTTCCAATGAATGCAGTAATTGGAGACTCGGATTTGAGATTTATGCCCGGTTTCTGAGAAATGTTTGTCGGCAGTTTATCTATTCCTTAGCACTATTGGTTCGGTAACTTACGGAACTGCGTTTCTGAACAATGCCACATCAGATAAACTCCATTTAAACTTAGATTATCCTAACTGACCAATGAGTGCCATTTATCGGTTCCATAACTTATATTTTCATGCTTTATTTCTTAAAGTATCTTGTAGTTCACAAGTTTTAGGTCAATTTGTATTATTATTAAAGTAAATTATCGCGGAGACCTAAGTGTTAAAAGCTTTCAAAGAAAAAAAAAACAGCATTATATTTATTTTTAATGCCATCCAAGTTTATTTCTTTGCCTCTACAGAGATCCCAGCAGTTTTTTGTTGTCGAATACAAATATAAAATCCTTGGCTACTTCAATAAGAAACATTTAAATTTTCTCTACTTTTTCCAAACTGCAACAACAAATATTATCAATTTTTTTTTACAAAAGAATGGTTAAAGTTAAGCAATGATAGCCAAGATAACTAAACTAAACTTATAATTAAAGAAGATGAACAAATATTATTATTACCACACCCAATACAAAACAAAGTCAAGGACAGGACAGCAAGATAAAGAGTATTTTCCGTTTATATTTGACAACTATGCCATTGATACATTCAAAGATAATTAACAAACATTATAATCAAATTTGCTACTAAAACAGCGCTTTATCACTTAGTTACCACAAAAAATTAAAATTAAAAAAAAAGAACAACCATTATTAATTTCTTCAACAGACCCATCTTGCTGGAGACCAGGAACGACTTATCGGTTCTGCAGTTATTGAATGGTTTGTTGAGTATTCAGAAACGCAGTGATAGTTAACTGAAATTTATATTATGCATTACTTCATTGAACCATTAGATAATCTGAATTTCGCTTAGAACTTCAGAAACCGGACATAATCATAGCATTAGCAATGTATCAAGATTGCCAATGCTAGTGCAACTACAATGGTGTTGTTGAAGTTAACACCAATGAGAGATAGAGATGATAGAGATGGTGGTAATATCTTATTATCAGGTAAACCACTTATATTGCTTTTATTTTATTTATTTATTAATTTATACTTTATTGCAATTACCTTAATCAAGGATTACAAAGGGCGAACTTAATGCCTTTAGGCATTCTCTCCCAATCAACGCGGGGTGTGTAAGTAATAAAAATATCTATTACAGGTGACATTTTGTCTGGTGTGTGTTATGTGGGACTATGGGATGCTGAAGCTCTTCAAGGATTTGTGCTGGCACCACTTTGTGCTTACCTTGTCCTGGGAACAATATTTCTATTGGCTGGATTTGTTTCTTTGTTTCGAATTAGGACCGTTATGAAACATGATGGTACCAAAACTGATAAATTAGAGAAGTTAATGATTCGTATTGGAGTTTTTGGTGTTCTGTATACTGTTCCTGCGCTTATTGTTATAGCATGTTTATTTTATGAACAAATCCATTTTGACAGTTGGATGGTAACATGGCATCGAGACTTATGTACTACTGCTATTTATTCAATTCCATGTCCATTTACCCACCAAGATATAGAAAGGCCCAAATTTGAAATGTTTATGATTAAATATCTCATGACAATGATTGTTGGCATAACTTCCAGTTTTTGGATCTGGTCTGGTAAAACATTAGTTTCATGGCATCAATTTTTTGACAAAATAAGAGGACGTAGAGTTGAAGCATATGTATGATTGTTTAAAAAAAATGTGAAGTATAGCTGTTTGTATAATGGTAAATTTAATTATTTAATGTTTTATATTTATGTGACATCCCTTTTTTATCCAGTGTCATAACCAAGATACTCATGAAAATGTAAGACTTCATAAAGTTATTACTATTGGAAAGAAATACAAGTGTTGTTTACAAGTAATAATAATTTTTGTGTTACTTTTTTTAGTATATAGAATTTAATTTGTACTATTTAAAAATCTAATTTTTTTTTGATTTTTTTTGTTTACGCATTTAGTAATTATAAAAGAGCCATGTGTAGTTTGGATAACAAAATTATAATAAGGCTGATATTGTATATATAAAATCTTATTACACTGTTAATTATAAGAATACTATAAATAAGATGTTAGTAAATAAACGTTTTTGTATTGGGTTCCTTGCAGAGAATAATTCAGTACAAAAATTAAAATATCTCCAAACAGTGATAGCAACATTTTTTGTGTTGATCTTGTATTTTTTTTAGCATAATGGTTGTTTAAACAAAAGTAAAGTATTTATTCATTAAATAGCTTTCATTCACTTTATTTTTTATATAGACTTATTCAAAAACTCAAATAACGGAAGTGTAAGAAGAAATTATGATCTTTTTATTTATAAGATCATAGTACAAAAATGAAATGTCAATAACAATAAAAATCATATTAAATAAGAACTTATATTTATTTAAGAATAACATTACATAATTTATCTTCCCATACTCTCACTCAAAAACTCACACATTTCTAGCAAATAACAAAAATTGGTATGTACATATTATTCATGCCCTAGTATATTTTCCCCAAATGTGCAGCATAAAAACTGATGCAATAAAGAGTAGTGACATGACTAATACAGGAACAGGACCTCTGAAAAAAAAACCATTTCAATTTAGTCTACAATTTATTTACTTAACAGAATGTACACTAACTAGTATCCAAATTATATAGGTTTTATAGACTGGAAGATAATTATATAGAAATTAGAGATCTATTGAAATGCATAGTAACCTTTCTTAGTGTATCTGTTACCAATATTACTTACTTTAAAGAAAAAAACTGAGCAAGTGCGGGTTTGACTTGCACGATAAGGTTTCCATACCATTATCATAATAATATTATTATTTAATTAATTATAAAAATGGCTAAAGATTCTTGTCAGTTGTATGGGAGCCCCATTTAAATACTTTTTTTTCTGTTACCCTCTGGATACAGAACCCTAAAAATCTGACTCAGTGGTTCAAATAAGTGCTTCACAAGCATACTTTATAACTAAAATAAAAAGTGTAAATATACAATTTTAACATTAATTAGTTTTAGTTTTTTAGAAATTTAAATTTTCATAGTGCTAATCTCTGCACTTAAGATTAAACATTAATTTTGTAGAAATTGAAAGCATTTCTTTCAATTTCTACAAATTGGCAAACATAACCAATAGGTAGTAAAACTTTTCGAGTGGCAACCATGAATCCGAAAATATAGGGTTGGACAGCCTCCCTCTAGGTGGACCAACAACATTGTAAAAGTGCATGCGGGCAAATGGTGGATGCAAATGGCAGTATCATTTATTGTAGCATTCTAAGGGGAAGGACTTTGTTCAACAGTGGACATCTTGGTGGTGATCATGATTAAATTAAAAAGTAAGTGCCCAGATCCTAAGCTTTCACAACTCTATTAATATATTTCACTTTATAAATGTGAAAAATCCTTTTTTAGGGGAACCAAAGATTTAAAATGTGACTATTGAGAAAATTGTTAGGTAAATAGATACAATGCAAATAACATTTTTTGGTACGTCGAAAAACACCCGGCGCTAAAGATATAAAATTCATATATTTAATTAGAGACTGAATTAACACAGATACTTGAACATCATTTAGCAGTACATTAACTAATGCAACTATCTTGTTAAAATATCTATTATGATACTTACACTTTTACACCTGGAGAATCGTCAGTGTAGAATCGCCACATTCCACCAGAACCAGCACCTGTGCTACGATTTCTAGCTGCTGTTGTAGTTGTCGTTGATTTGCGTTGCCTTACTGTACCGCCACTGGAAGATCGTGGAGCAGCAGACACCTTGCTAGGCGAGCGACCTCCTGATCCAACAGATGTAGAACTCGGAGGAGCTGGCTTAAATTCAAAATAAAATCGTATATTATTGTATCGTGTAATCGTATATTGTCTATTCATTACGCATAAAAGTTTACATTTAATAAAGCACATTTACCATTTTGTTATACAGTAGAACGCGTTAACAGACTGTTATAATATTCGACCAAAACTTTCACGGCAAATGAAGCCACTATTACTGGCAGTTGTACTGAATCGATCTGTTGGAGATGCAACGCGTACATTCACTTGACACGTCACCTAGTGTTGTCATTATTTTAACATAGGGTATAGAGCAGTGTTTCGCAACATGGGGCCCGGTAAATAATTGCGGTAAATATATTTAGGTATTGAGATGATTGACAATAACAAGTAAAGTGGCATCAGTTACTCCACATTTTTGGAGCCAATGAAACTGTTCAAAGTTTTTGTTATTAATATTTTTCTGACATAACTTGATATAGGTAATAAAATCAATTATCTTCGCTTTTGCATAGCAAGTTTAAATTGGGAATGTAAAGATAGCTTCCAAAAATTTAAGTATAGTGAAAAACTGCCGCCGTCTGTCTCACGGAAATTTACTTGACGATGCCAAACACCGAGGTGATATTTTGGTCTAATCAAGCGAAATTATACCTAAAATTATTTACCGGGCCCGAAATTGGTAAACTCGACTCTAGACTCTATGTTAAAATCATTGACAATGACAACAATAGTTGACGTGTCAAGTGAATGAACGCGTTGCATCCATCGAAAAAACAAAAAGAATCTATGAGGATAAGCAGTTTATATTTTTATAGTAACAGTCGTAAGCAGGGTAGGATTTTGTACTATAATTATAGTATTTGTACTATAATTTCATTAAGTTACCTAAATGACCAATATTATACCCTTCACGGCCAATCCATATCCAACATTAAAAGAAGTTCTCTAGGCTGTAATCACGTTGTAACTTTTTTCAATAAGACTTTTTGATAATATTGAACTTTTTTCAATACTCCGCTTTCTCAAACAGTCAGTTTGCACTGAATGAAGTAATTAATAGAGTTCATAATTGTCTAATACTACGATTAATTTTTTATTTTTATTTAGTTCCATTCTTATTCAACGTGATAACAATTTTCTGCGAGTTTTGCAGTAAAATAATTTATTTTTTGTGCATTAACTATGAAAATAATAGTGTACTATAATTTTTGTCAAATACTATCCAATAAAAAAATTTACTATCTTTTTAAACGCACCTAAATTCAACCCTGGTCGTAAGCATAAAGAAAGCGCATGATAATGACAGCGTGTTATGGAGCAAAGTTTACTCAGCAATGAGCAAACCAGTTCACTCAATTTCAGTTTCAGACTTCAGTATATATGTGTTATCTATGGAGCAAACTGCAGACACCAGACAGCATGTTTGGAGTGACTAACTCCTAATTATTATTTTATCTTCTTCATCTTATTCTTAAATTATAATAGGTAATTAGCACAAAGCTAGACAATTTACATATATCATGATATTGAGATTTACTTCATTGATCAGCAAATTTAGTACAGCAACTAAAATCTCAAAAATCAGCAATATGAACGGAGACAAGTGTTATTTTCGTTATATTAAATCTGAGGAAAAGGTTGACATTTCGTTTTTGTTAAAAATTAAAGATACTGTGCGACAATTCAACTTTAGCCGACAACCTTCAGAAAAGTTAGAAACATTATTTAGCCGTATAGAAACTAATATTCTAAAAGTTATTAACAAGAAAAAAAAGAAAAGTGCAAAGAAGGCGTCTGCAGATGATGATAAAATTAAAATTGCAATGCTTGATGTAAACAATACAGAAATACCCAAGACTTCTTCCTGTATCGAGTTATTTGAATTAAAAAGTTCACTTAGATTAGAGATTTACGATCAAGTGTATGAAGCAGTTTTTAATGCACCATGGATAATCAGCATAAATTTGCCAAAAACTTTATTGGTTGGATTTCCAGTCTTACCCGAAAACTTTGAAACTATGTTTACTGAAAAAGATAAGTCTCATTTTAAATGGTATAAAGGACTTTCCATTAATGAAAAACAAAACGAAATTAATAATTGTCATATTAACTGGACATTAGTTGGAAATAATGTTTCATATATTCCAACTACTGCTGATATTGGTATGAAATTGAAGTTAGAATGCATTCCAGGTACGCAAATTATTATTTTTCTTGAATAATTGAACATTCTTTGATATTTTTTTATAAACTACTACCAATACCACTGCTATTTTTATTAACAATATAATTAAATAATATTCCAGTAAATGATGTCACTGTTGGACCTACAGTTGAAACAATTTCTAAAGGTCAGGTGGAGGCTGGCCCTGGACCATGTCCTTTTGAAACAAGGCATTTGTTTACTTCCTCTAAACTTAATAATACAAGGTAAGCAAGTCGTTGTTGATTATTAATTTTATCATATTTTTTGTATTTATATTTTAATCTGTAAATAACTCCCAAGTTTATGCATGAAAAAATCCTTAATCAATAGAAAAATGTCAATAATGGAATTTGCTCAATTTTAACTTAAGTACTATAAGTTAAAATTGAGCAAAAAATTAATGAAATGTTTATATTCCATACAATGGACATCCACCATTAATTAGACAATATTCATTATAGGCTAATAATTGAAGTTTAAAACTTATGTTTTTATTAGAAGACCATCTCATACACACAGATCTATCACAAACACACATTTCTTGTTAAGGTGTTAGGTTCATATTAATCTATCAATGTACATTTTTACATACAAAGGTGACATCATAAAGGCTTATCTAAAATTATGTAAGGGCAATAAAAATGGTTTTGATGTAGCAAATGAATTGTTATAGCAAAAAAAAAACTTAAGTCTTTCAGTTTCTTCTACTTTTTTCATGTTATTATTGATGACTATTAATTTACTTCACCATTGTTTGAAGCTCATTTAATTATTGATGTACTATATTTCCCAACTTAAACTAACTTCCTTTAATTTCTTACTTTCTTTGTAATTGTTATCTCACATCCACTTGCTTGAATTTAAGTTTACGAGTGCAGCATTCAGACTTCATTGACGCCTTGTTTCCCTACAAGTTTCTCCCTAAAAAAGATTAGTAACAAAATAAATGGCAACAATAATAGTTTTTATCATTCATAATATGGTTTAGTGTGAACAAACTATAATTCACGGTACAATGCGCATCAGCCTGGCCATACAAAAGGGGGAAGGAAGCTGACAACCTCTCCTCAACAACAAGATAAAAGCGAAGTATGATGTAAGGCCATGTACAGTGAGACGTATTACTCAATTTTAAGACCTTAAAAGAGAAGAAGAACAACTTACAGGCTTAGGATTATATACTAAAAATATTACCAAAGTTTTGCATAAGATTTTATTGAAGCCATTGTATTCAATTTACATATATCAGAGTTAGCAAAAATAACATTGCCTATAAATAAAATGAAGGCACAGGGCATTCTACTGAGGCACGAAATTGAGATGGCTCATTAATTACGAGAAATTAATTCTCATTCTAGTAGGAAACTTTACATTCCTAAAGATTTATTGGGGTTCCAGGTCGATTTTGAAATGTCTATCAAAAGACAAAATCTCTACACATACACAAAAAGTAGCGCAGATATTGCGGAAAGGGCATATCACACTCTGAGAGCTTCAAAGTCTTGTGGGTTTTATAAATTTGCTAGCTCTACTGTTCCAAAACGTAGTCTAAACGATCGAGACCTGGATCAAAAAGTTCAATACTTTTTGATCCAGTTCTAAAGCCGAACCCCAAAAAATTACAATTACAAGCCTTAGATTAGATTTTGCTAAACTTGGAAGCATATGAGTTACAAACAAATATCACCGATACAGACGGCACGGCAATCTCATTTCCTAGCAGCAGACGCTTCGGTCATTGCGTGAATTGCATTTGGTTATAAACTGAGAAGAGCTTCCATTGCAATGAGAAAGTAATGTTGGCGCCATTAACTCTTAAAAGATCACTCCAGCTCCTGAAACAGCACTGTACTCATTCAGAGCGAAATCAAAACCGTAATAACTTATCTCTGTTGCGAGGGAGGAACCAAATCGCCTGCACTCTTCCTTCGTTTTTAATTTCGAAAATAATTCTTGATAGTGATGCCATGTTGGAAACGAGTCTTCTGGCCCTCTGACATTCCCGAGCCCCGCCGTTCAATATACATCACTTAGAGAAGGCATGATGGACATTGCAACTGGTCAACCTTCACCGAATGTCAACAACATGTCTCTAGAACTGTGGAAATGTAGGGATCCACAGCGATGCTAGATCAATGGAATGACATCATCATCAGCCGCAAGAATGAATGACATTCAATCAAAATTTCTCGAAAAATTTGGGCGCCCCTCAACGCAAAAAGTTAACGGTGCTGCATGGAAACAATGGGTTGACTGGTGTAACGCACATCGAACTATCTATTCTTTGGTTAAGGCTATTGATTTATGGTTATACATATGTAGGATAGTTTCGACTTTATGTAACACAGAAATAGATGGTCAAATTGACTCTTTATTATATTCGAAGAAATGTGAAGTCCGCCAATCTGTAGCCATGGTGGCACTACTGACATTTTCTAGAACTGGGCAGTTAGAAACATCCAATCAAAACTTGTTTTAAGTTTTGAATATAGAACTCTTTGGTAACCTAATGTGACATATTGCATTAATTTGTCATGTTTTTGTGAATTGGCGGCAGCTCCAAGTCTTGTTACACCTCAAAATGAATTTAAGGCGAGAAAATTTTCGGTCCATGAATTATTACGACTTTCGCTGCGGTCTTACTCAATTACAAAACTATGGTAGACTTCCATTGGCATTTAGTAATGAATTAATCAGTTTAAGCGTGGGCGTAGTAATCTCAGTAATGATCTGCATGAGGGACTTTCTTCAAAAGCGACATCTGAAGATAACATCATTGCTGTGCGACGCATGATATAGGAAAATAAGAGAGTGGCCTAGCAGCAGATTCGGACAAGGCATTGGTATGTGTCAAGTTCAAAAAACATTACACGACCATTTAGGCCACAGGAAGAGTTGTACCAGATGGGTTCACTATAGTTTCTTTGAAAATCAGAAACTCCTTTGCATGGATTGGTGTCGCGAAATGTTAGAAAGGTTCAAAGGAGGTGACTCTAATGCTGTACTTCACATCGTCACAGGTGATGAAAGCTGGATTGCTAAGAACCCGAAACCAAAAGACAATCTTCTCAGTGGGTGTTCCCTTTGGAGTTGCGGGTGGTACCTTACGAACCTCTATGTATAATTTGACGATTCATTTGAATAAAAATTTTTGATTGATTGATTGATTGATTGATTGAAGGATCGGCCAACTAAATTAAGAATGGAAGGTCAAGGAAAATGATGATTGCCTGGTTCTTTGATCGGAAAGGTCATTTCGCTATAGTTGTGCTGAAAGATGCAACGATAGTGACGGCAGTCTGGTATGTTAACTGTTTTTTGCTTGTTGTCTTGCAAAATGCACCACAGCAGCGTCCTCAGAGCAGGATCCTGCATATCGCGAAACGATAGTTCGTTTGTAATATATGTATAACGGATATTTGACTATAGCAGGTGTCGAAATAATGAGTCATCCGCCATGTAGTCGACGACCCGATTGCGTAATGAACATATTGTTTTTCTAAAATTCTTTGTTTTGGAAAATTTAATAACTCTGTAAAAATTAATGTTTAAAGAATGTAAATGCAATACAATTTTAAAAAGTTATCCCCTATATGTGTGTTCATTTATTGTCGCGATTGTAAAGACACGCTGTATATGCAATATATATTTATATGTTTATTTTTATTTATAAACCCAACCAGACGAGAAAACAAATAAATAGCCCCAACATAATAATTTATAATTTCTTTTTCTGCAGCAGCTCTTTCTTGACGGAAGACGACAACGCCCCAACCCTACGCTGTGCTATTTGCCTTTCAGCACGGATTTGATTTAACCTATTACTGAAATAAAAAAAATCATATGTTACGTCTATAAGTTTTTAATGTGGTACGACCACGCTACAGTCTTCACAGTTGTACGAATGGTCAGGTCCGTTGGGGAATTACCGCAACCTCACAGAAGACTGGCGTGAAGTGACTGTGGAAGTGTAATACTTTGTAATACTTTTGCGTGCGGCCCTACCCAGAGCGGAGGGCCCAAACCCGTGGGTTCCGGCTAGCCCACCGGTTCTGCGTCAGATGAAGCTTTAATAGTCTCGGGACTGAAAGCAAAAACATCAGTTAATACAAGATACAAGACTTTTGCGTTTCGCCTAGTGAGTGAGCCGGGGCCCACTTTATTCTAAACGCGTGGTGGCCACGCATCTACAATCCCGCGAGTGTTGCAAAAGTATATTGATATACTAATTATGAACTATTCTTACATTTTCACATAAACATTTCTTTGTATTTTACATATCAACCGGCAGCTATTGTTCCCATCGCAAACAATAACTTTTTCGGAGGCAAAATATTACAACTTTTGAATGCTAAAACTACTTAACTATATAAAAATATTGTAGCATTATTCTTCCCGATCATTTATATGTATAATAGTATATAAATATCTACTTACGACATATTTTATTAAGTCAACAATCCCTTCACACGTAACGCACTTACAGTTATAAACTTTCTACATTTTATTATGGCGTTCTGCTTGAAAAATTTATTTCGTTGAATTATTTCCTAAAAAACGTCTCTATGAAGCTATTTTTATAATTAACATTTTTATAATTAACATTTAGTGTAAATAAATTCCGTATATCATCAACTAGCGCGGTTGATGATATACGGAATTTATTTAGACTATGTCGCGTAGGTACCATGGTTCCCTAATGGCGGGTTACATAATTTTATTTTCTTGGTACTATAGTTGTCGCGTAGGTACCATGGTTCCCTAGTGGCGGTTTACATAATTTTATTTTCTTGGTAATGTAGTACCTGATGGTTTTCTGGGTGTTATTTAAGCGATACCTACTTTGACTTCTTAAAAGGACGGGTTGCATGACAGAGACGTGTTTACATAGGACGCGTATAGGCATGCTTCTAAACGCGCAAACCTTTACACTCAACAGTATTTCTAATTGTTTTCGTCGTGATTCATAGTAAAATAAAACAAGGCTCAGATAATATCGACTTACTACATCAATAGATGGCGCGCACAGCTCAATAAATATCGAAATGAACGAATTATAGTAAAGTTGCTTATGACGACAAAAACTGGTGCTGAACACAATAAAATTCTCAATTAATTAAAGTAAAGTTATCATTAAAACATCTGTATTTTGCGGAATACTTGCAAGAATACATTTTTTGCATGTATGGAGTGCCTGCGCCTATCGATATGTGGGCATACTACAGTTTCGCTGCATAAAATCGTTCGTAGGTATAGTCTAATCTAGGCGTTAAATCCATATTATTATCAATGTTGAAATAACTAGAGATATTACTTTATAAGATCATTTTTCCAATTGATTCACTATTGATTACATAACAAAAAATTGTGATTGAAAAAATGTGTACCGCCGTTCATTTGTCTGTATGTCAGTGTATCTTTACGTTTTAAAGCAATGAATTACAATAAATTTTATTTAATAAGTTTAATTTTTTTCTAATAAAGATCCCAATTGATTTTTGTTATTAAACTCACAACCATTTAAAAGTTATTAAAGGAAGTCTATGGACTTCTCTGATTTTTCTCTCGTAAAAATACCACCATTTTTTTAAAATCTATTATCTTTTTAATTATCACTCTGTTTATTCTCTTGTAATATTAAACACGTGTGAGTTGTGCACTTTGGATTGTCCAATTTTTAAAATTTTTCTAATACGTTTTTCAATGAGTGAAAAACAATCGAACTCACCTGTTCGTGATTCGCGCCCAGATGTTTTAACCACTAAGCTAAACGGCAGCTGATTGCCTCACCGATGAAAATCTCAATGTCTTTTATGTACATTGTTTTCTCGCATTCCAAGCAATGCTTGGCGCTTCTATTGTGATATCCTTTAAAGTTTAAAGCATACAAATAATTTAGAATATCGTTTTACGACGATAATTCGAACGAAATATGTCGCCATTGCTTTGCTTTATGTTTAAGTGTAACATGCAATTACTTAGCCGCTTTTTTTACATATTAAAGGTTCATTTTATTTTAAACTAATGACCCTCCCCTGCTTCGCACGGGTGAAAGCAGAAATTGAATTTCTCGACTTTTCTCTACTATGATATGCACATGCAGGATACATATACTACAAATAAACCTTCCTCTTGAATCACTAATCACCAATTGCTGAAAACCGTATCAAAATCCGTTGCATACTTTAAAAGATCTAAGCGTACAAACACCGGGAGCGACTTTATTTTATTATACCATGTAAAGAATTGAGTCTACTGCACTATTAAAACACATTGGCGTCCCATATGACATCCACCAGGCAATAATAACATGTCTCACAATTAAATAAACTATGAATGATGGTCAAGTCAAATAAATAAAAAAATCAAGTATATTTTTTTATTTAGCTTATTAATTTACCTATTTCGAAGCATTTTTTTTATCATCTTCGCCTGGTAATTGAAGACTTGATGCAGTTAAAGCAACATAGTGCTGAACTTTAAACTAGAAAAAGAATAACAAAGAGAGTTGGAGGGTTGTTTCCCATCCCCATATGCATATCCCAAATAAGCTTTATTTTTCTACTTTTTCAGTTTTCGATGTGTTACTTACAATATACTGGCAGATTTGTATTGTGATTCTGATTTCACCAGAAATGTCCTGCATCCATATTGCCCACCATATGCTCTACAAATAGACTATAGAAAGCAACTTATTATGAAAGAACTCCAAGGTATGTGATAAATTTAAGTAAAAACAAATATATTTTTAATAATTTGCAATGCCTGTATGAATGAATGCCTATACATATATAAAAAAATATAGGTGTATATATACAGCGTGTCATTACCATCGCGACAATAAATGAACACACATATAGAGGATAACTTTTTTAAATTGAATTAAACATTTACATTCTATAAACATCAATATTTACTGAATTATTAAATTTTCCAAACTACAACTGACTGATTCATACATTCAGATTCTTTTTCATTCGTTGCCACAGCGTCGCATTACAAGCCTCTCCTTCTAACAGTATGTTTTGTCTCTTTTAAATTCATTCAACCCATTCATATGCTTTGTGACCTTTACAAGTGAAGTTTACGTTACAGTTTTATACGTAAGGATGTTCTAAAATTCTTTGCTTTGGAAAATTTAATAACTCTGTAAATATTGATGTTTAAAGAATGTAAATGTTTCATACAATTTTAAAAAGTTATCCTCTATATGTGTGTTCATTTTTTGTCGCGATTGTAAAGACACGCTGTATATATACACATATAGTTTTTTTATGTGAGCTGGCAGTTCACCTGATGATAAATGACAACCGCCGCCTATGGACATTTCCAATCTCCGTATGGTTACAGATGCTTGGCCACCTGTTAATAAAGTGGGCCTCGGCTACGTAACTCATCAGACGCACAAAAGAAGTATAAAACTTCTATACTTCACCCCGGATTTGTATGAGGTGCAACAACTGCATTTTTCCGCTGAATAATTATGCTTAATCTTTGATCAAGAATAAGTTACTCTAGGACGAAAACTACTTAAAAATTTTATGTACGGGACCTCATGAATCTTATATTTATATATTATATAAATTTTTCAATGATTTGCAGGCTATAATGCTGATATTATTTGCCTACAAGAAGTAGACAATAAAGTATATATTAATAACTTAAAGCCGTTTTTGGAAGTGGAAGGTCTTCAAGGATTATTTTACAAGAAAGGGAAAACTGTTGCCGAAGGATTAGCCTGTTTTTACAGACAAGCAAGATTTGAGTATGTTAATTTTTACGAACTGGTTACCCATATATTATATTTTTTGGCTTATTGACCACTGTGCCAGTTTTAAGTTAAATGGTTTTAATTTATGTTTACAGGAACATTCGTGATTATAATAATGTAAAGAATAATGACCATTTCTCCTCTAAATGTGTTTATAAAATTAATATTTTTATTATTAATTGAATCTTCATCATTGTTTATGGTCTGTATGTTTTATATACTCGGTGCTTTCATATGAAATTGGCGTTTTGTCAAAATAGCCACTTTGATGTCAGATCTGGCTTTTGACTAGGAATTCCAAAATTTTAATTTATTTCAAATTTAGGCTTGTGTATTTGTGTTTCGAATTATGTGATTCATTTGTTCCGCGCCATTTCATTATTCTTTGATGTCACTCTGTAAACAATATGGAAAATTGAAATTATCACGTTATTTATGAATACGAGTCCAACTTGGCACCAAAGCTGCAGAAACAGCTCAAAGGATTAATGATGCGTATGGAGAACTTACTGTAAAATAACATACGGTACGTCTTTGGTTCCAAGTGTGCTGAAAATTTTTACCTTCGGAACAAACCCCTTGGGCGACCTGAGTCCATTTTTTTTGTTTATGTGAGCAGGTCGCAAACGAGCTGGCGGTTCACCTGATGTTAAGTGATACCAATTGACAAGTGCAACATCCGTAGGATTGCCGTTGCGTTGCCATCTTTTAATAAAGTGAGCCCCGCCTACCTCACTCAACAGACGAAACGCAGAAGTATTTTATAGTTCTACTTCACGTAACAAAAACTGTTGCGTGATCCTACCATAATGGTCAGCTGGACCACGCAACGTGGTATGTCACATCTGTGTTATCAACAATTGCAAACCATTATGGAAAAGCTCGCTGTTCAAGGTAAGAGACAGGCAACTCTCTAGCCTACTGCTGTTTCAAGACGTCTTCTCAACTTCAGACATCAAACTTCAAAACAGACGGTCGCTTAATTAGCGGAGCTGCAATCGGAATGGCTCCAACACCAAGGAAACAATTTTTTTTTAATAATAAATAGGGCTAACGGGCATTTGGCTCACCTGATAGAAAATGAACATCTGCAAAACTGGATGTTCAGCAAAGCTCTCTTCTTGAAGGTTCTTGCGAGACAGGAAATTCCTTGAAAATCGCGCTGTAGGTGCGCTAGACATCAAGGTTATGTGTATAAAATTTCTGGCTTTGACGCCTTATGTAGAATGCAGTCAAATGGAAGAAACTAGTAATGGGGGGCTCCCGTCCAGAGATGAGAGCAGTAGGGCTGGATTTGCGCCTTACAGAGATTTAGGCGTTGAGCCTATGGGAAGTACTGTCCCGACTTTCTCAGGACTCCAGCTTCTTTAAGGTCAATTTGGCCTTACCTTCCAATAAACCGTGGAACTGGACGTTGCTCGAAATGTCCACGCCAAGTATTCCGATATTGGCAGACGGAGGAGTTTCCAAAATGAGTATTTAGGACAAAACGGGACTGAAACGGTTAATGCACAAACTTGTGTCTTTTTGGAGTTCAATTGAACTAAGTTTAGTCGACCCCAGTCTGAGACTTAACAAATACTCGACTTCAGGCACAAGTTTGTTCCGGCTCTCGTCGACGTATTCCCGATAAAGCCAAGACCAGAAATTCACAGTCAGTGTATATAAGGCATCCACAGTGGTATCGTTTGCACAGCAATGAATGTTGTTGATTTGCAACATGTCATTGATATGCAGAAGAAACAGAGTTGGACACATTACGCAGCCTTGTGGAACACCAGCATTGACAAATTTAGGATCAGAGCATGCACCATCGACGACGAACTTGATGCTCCGATCTGGCAAAAAACTGGTAATCCAGTTGCATTATTTCTCGGGAACCCCATAGGTCTATCGCAGTCTAGATTGACTCGTCTCAACTGCTTAGGCCCGTCTATGTGTCAGGTAAACTAGAAGATCACAGGCTGAGCAATGCTGACGAAAGCTATACTGGTGGTAGGTAATCAACCGGTGCTCCTCTAGGTAACGCAGTATCTGTAGTTGATAATGGACTCCATTATCTTGGAGAATCGTCGGGGGAGGAATGGTGAGTGATCCTCCGGGACTCTCACAGACCGAACCAAATTCGACAGCATAGCTACCACTTTCATCACGTCGTTTTACAGTTAGGAAGTAGTTCTTCCCGGGGCGTGCCGGCCCATTCGGCTGTTACCCGAAGGTGCGCAGCATAGCAGACTACAATGGCGAAAGTGCATACTTCAATTAATCTTTTTTTTATATGTGAAAAGTTGCCAAACGAGCACAACCGTGTGCTCGTTTGGCAACTTGATAAGTGAATACCGCCGCCCATGGACACCTGCTACACCCGAGGGTTACAGAAGCGTTGACAACCTTTTGGAAATTGGGCTCCGGCTACCTCATTCTCCAGACGAAACGTAAAAGTATTTGACATACTTAAACTTTATGCTGGTCTTCTGTGTGGTCGTGGTACTTACCTGGACGGGCCAGCCCATTCGTGCAACAGCCAAGGCTGCTGCGTGGCCCTACCACCGTAAAAATCTTTATATATATAATTCTTCTGTACGTTGTACGTATATATGTCACTGAACCAAAACGGCTGGACTGATTTAAATGATTTTTTTTGTGTGTCTTCAGGTAGATTCTAATGTCTTGACGGCGGTAGGATGGGCAGGCTCGTCCGGTCAAGTACAACGACCTCACAGAAGACCAGCGTAAAGTGGAAGTATAATACTTTCGCGTTTCTTCTGGTGAGTGTGGTAGCCGGAGCCCAATTTTCAAAAGGTTGTAGTGTAGTGTAAAGGTGTAGCAGACTGATGTCCATGGGCGGCGGTATTCACTTAACATCAGGTGAACAGTTTGCTCGCTTGGCAACTTTTCACATAAAAGATTCGAGAATGGTTTGGATTCACAATTCGGTCCACTACAGTTTTTTTTTAATTTTTTTGTTTATAAGTTGTCGGATTCCGCAAGTTGAATATATAATTTCATATATCTTTTTCCTTTTACTTCTTCCATTAAAACGCCCGTTTCTTGTATTAACTAATGTTAACGCTTTCAGTCCCGAGAGTATTAAAGCTTCATCGAAAACAGAACCGGTAGGCTAGCCAGCACCCACGGCTTTGAGGCCCTCCTCAATTGGTAGGGCCACGCATGTGCTCATGCGTGCGTTAGCTAAGGAGTGTCGCCTACTGGCTATCGAGGTTCGGTGCGCCCGTAACCCCGATAGCAGTTCACTGTGCTTGGTTATTCGGTGGCTGGGGGCGGTGAGAACCGCCCTAGAACGCGGGTGTACCTAGTGTACTAACTGTACCTAGTGTACTCCATTTCATACGAAAGGACTTAATAGTTAAATAACCTCTATACTTGGTTAAAGCTGACGTTTCTGTTTATTATTGAATAAAAAGAAATTGTATCACGTGTTACTTAAATATACACATATTTATAGGTATAAATATGTGTATATTTAAGTCACACCCATTGGTGGGTGTGTGCCTGGCAGGATTATAGGCATAGTTTTTTGAGCTAATAAATTATGTCAGACTCATATCGACCTTGACGTAAAAATATGATTTCAGGGAACAAAACATTACTTTTGTTGCTGAATATAAAATGTAGCTTAAAACGTTATAAAAATATATAAATTGTTGCCCTAGATCTTAAATTATTAAAAATAGTAAATAGTTAGTTTTTGGGCATAGATCGTTATGGAATGCCCTAATATAGAAGTCGCCATCATGTTTTGTCTTTTACATTTTCTACAGGATGCTGAAAGAAGAAACAATATTATTAGCTGATGCCTTACAATCTAAGCCATGTTTGGAAGATATTTGGAAAGCCGTACAAGAAAACAAACTGTTAAAAGATAGAATTTTGGACCGTTCAACAGTAGCCAGTGCAACAATATTACAATCAAAAGATGACCCCAATAAAATACTTATTGTTGGAAATACTCATTTATACTTTCATCCTGATGCTGATCATATAAGGCTGCTTCAAGGAGGAATAGTTATATATTGGCTAAGAGAAATACGAATCAAGTTGATAAAAGAGGTTGGTTAATATTAGGTGCATAAACAAATTGCAAGTACATTAGTATACGTCGCGTACACGTCCATTCCCTACTGCGACCTTAAATATACACACATAGGGGATAACTTTTTAAAATTGTATTAAACATTTACTTTCATTAAACATCAATATTTACAGAGTTATTTAATTTTCCAAAACAAATAATTTTAGAACATCCTATGTATAAAACTGTAATGTAAAGTTAATTTGTAAAGCTCACAAAGAATTATTGGCAAGTAGCGTTAGATGTGTGTTCATTTCAGGTCACGGTTGCAGCATCATTCTGTATAAAATTACACTTTGAGTTTGCACTATCACTGAGAACTTTTTATAATATTTATAAAAACTTGACTTTATGAAAAGATTATATGTTTATGAAAAAATGAACAAATAAATCTTACATGGAAAAAATGTTTATATAAAATAGAAGTGAAATATTTATCAATTGAGAATTATATAAATAAGAGATGTTACATAATAATTATTATTATTTTTTAACATTGCCCCTATTTTACGATATCATTATCCTGCGGTAACTACATAAGGACGTTTTACAAACATAAATTTCACGCGGATAAACACCCAGATGCGGAACAACCATTTGTGGGTCACACAAATATTTGTGCATGTGGGAATCGAACCCACGGCCCCCGACGTCGAAGCCAATACCTTGGCAACTGCGCCACGGAATCATCAAAACTATAAAGTTTTCAATCGTTTTTTTTTATTTAACTAAATTGTTGGTAAGTGTCTTTATAAAACTTTTATTTGTTTTCAGTATCCTGGAAAGTCTGTCAGCCTTATTCTCTGTGGTGATTTTAACAGTGTACCTTCATGTGGCATTTATAGATTGTATACTACAGGAATAGCACTGGATGATCTCCCTGACTGGAAATCCAGTAAGATTAAAAATTCTTCATTATTAAGATATTATAGTCATCTTGTTGACTGTAATAAGTTTCCATCAGTGAAGTGAAAAAATCCCTGGATAGCAAGACTATCTAGTGTACGCAATGTTTTTTTTTATCTAAAAAGTTGCCAAACGAGCAGACGGTTCACCTGAGGTTAAATGAATACCGCCGCCCATAGACATCTGCTACACCCGAGCGTATGCGGATGCGTTGACAACCTTTTTGAAAATTGGGCTCCGGCTACCTCACTCACCAGACGAAACGCGAAAGTATTATACTTCCACTTTACGCCGGTCTTCTGTGAGGTCGTGGTACTTACCCGTACGAGCCTGCCCATTCAGAGCCGACTGCTGCGTGGCCCTACCACCATAGTGTCGCGATAATACGCAAGATGTATTTATAGTGTAGTATTTTCAACAGGTGTATATGTATTTTTGTCGATCAAGCAATTTCTTATCCTGTAATTGTCTCCTAACTCTACTACTAGACTACTCAACTAGGAATTAACCCTAGCTTCCTCTTCATCGGAATAGAACATGGTTGGCTATTTACTGAACCCTCTCATTTAAGCGGTAGTTTCATAACAAGATACATATTTTAAACAGATAAATGACGATATTATACTTCTTCGTTATATTATGTTTCTTTTTACCCATCTTTCTGATTAATTTTCAGAGGCGGAAGAGGCCGTTTTAAATTTGAGCCTATTTCAAGATATGGATCTTGGAAGCGCTGGTGGAACACCTAAATTTACGAACTATACAGCTGGTTTCGCAGGCTGTTTAGATTATATATTTTATGACAAAAGTACACTTGTCGTTGAACAGGTATAAAGACGTTATTTGTTTATTTTACAATTTTTTTTTAATTTAGAAGAAAAATATAATTGTATTTTTTTAACAGGTAATTCCATTTCCTTCTCTAGAAGAAGTTCGAGTTCATACAGCATTACCAAGTATAGTCTTTCCATCCGATCATATTGCTGTAATCTCTGATTTAAGATTTACTTAAAATAGAGCAACTTTATTTATCTATTTATTTTGTTTTATTACTTATCATTGATTTTAGTCGTCAGACTTCTCTTCTCGTTTATTCTTTGTAAAATCTCTTGATTTGTAACCACCTCCGTTCAACTTATTCTTTCTATACGCCTCCAGCACCACATTTCAAATGCTTCGAAATAACATCTATATTTTTGATTCAGGGTCCAGGTTTCGTTTTCATATAATGCTCTACTCCATACCTATGTCTTTATGAATTACTTCTTGATGTTTGTTGGCATTTTAGATTTTAAAATATGTTTTTTATTGAAGGCTTGTTTTGCTATGGCTATTCTTGATTTTATGTTTGGCGAGCAGCTTGCATCTGATGTAATGAAACTTCTGAGGTATTTAAAAGAATCGACCTGTTGTAATTCTTCACCGTTGATTGCGATTTCTAGTGTTTTAGTTTTGTTGATATTTATCTTGAGTGAAAATTAGTTTCACCAATAGCCATTTCAATGTAAATATTAAAAAGTAACTGTGAGAGCGCGCATCCGTCTTACTCCTTGTCTAATTTTTCCGTTTCTCCTTACTCCTCCTACCCCTATGACAATTTCTTGTTGTTTGTATAGTTCATAAATAACTCGTCTATCTTTATAATCTATTCCTATTTATTTCAGAACCCTCATCATTTCTTTCCAATTAACTTTATCATACGCTTTTTCTAAATCTACGAATGATATATAAGTAATAAGACCTACATCCAGTTTTCTAAGTATTATTTGTCTCAGCGCAATAATGGCTTCTATCGTACCGTTGTGTTGACGGAACCCATATTGATCGTCTCCATCGGCATGTCTAGATACTGCATCATATAAAGGCGCAGCCTTGTAGCGAATATTAGCGGTGCACGGGAGTTGGAAAGGAATGAGCGATGGAGAAATGTTTATTTGTTGTGTAATAAATCTGTATCAGTATGTGTGTTCGATGTCGTGTTTCAAACCCTTTCCTGCGTTCATGGTCACGGGACAGACATAAGTTGTTACTATAGAGGTGCATATTTACGATATCGGGTATTTCTTTGCAAGTATATTAATCAGGTACCGACCCGATATACTTGCAAGACGAAGAATGTATATCGGTCTCGCCCTGGGTTTCCACTTGAATAGATGACTTATACTCATACACACAGATTGTGCTTATACGCGAAATAAAGTACTTTAAAGTATTTTAACAACAATATTTAAACTTGCAAGGTACACGCAACTCCGAGTATCCTAGATATTATGTTATTCAAGGAGGTCTCGCTCGACATCGAGTCGATAGAGACAATCCATGAACTAGATTCAGGTCACAGGCCCGTTCTGTGTAAACTGGGCCAGAACGCCGGCGCGGTCCCTGCGGCCAAATCCGTAGTGGATTGGCAACGTCTTGAGGTCAAACTCAAGGCCTTGGACCCCCAGGACATAGTCAACTTACCCGAGACGATTGCTACGTTCGATGACGCAAATCGAGCGAAAGCAAGTCTCCGAGAAACTATTACTTCCGCAGTCGCAGATTCGGAACGGACGGTGAAACTATCGGGCGACCGACGGTTTAGTTTTCCACCCGATCTGCGACTGCTAATTAGAAAAAAAATGCTGTCGACCGATACCGATCAGAATCGAACCGAACCCTACTTCGACGCCTTCAGCTAGAAGTCAAAGATCGCGTATCGGAACACCGACATACCGCGTGGGACACTCTCCTAGAGGACATGAGCCATCGCACATCGCCTACTGGCGGTTGGCCTGCAGTCTGAAAGCAGACCTCCGCCAATCCTTACCGCCGTTAGAAATGCCTAATAGCACTTCATTAGCCCTAGATGACTCCGAAAAAGCCGAATGCCTTGCGGTCAACCTAGAGCAGCAATGTACGCCATCGCGCGAACACTTGGACAGCGTAATCGAAACTAGGGCTGCGCTTGCACCGGAAAGCGATCCATTAAACTCAGTGACCCCCGAAGAGGTACAAGATGTTATCAAAAATTTAAAACCGAAATCCACCCCAGGCCCAGATAATATTAGTAATAAAATCCTTAAAGCTCTCCCTGGGCCACTTATATGTTTACTGGCTACCACTTACAATACACTTCTCTCCAGTTGCTCCTTTCCGGACGACTGGAAAGAAGCCACGGTTATCGGCATTCACAAGCCGAATAAACCCGCCAATCAGCCCTCAAGCTATCGTCCCATCAGCCTCCTCAGTTGCCTGCGGAAGCTCTACGAGAGGCTTTTATTAAACAGGCTCAAAGAGCACGTGTTTTCCAACGGCCTTCTGCCGGCGGAACAATTCGGCTTTCGAGCTAGACACTCCTGTCCCGACCAGTTATATCGCCTAACGGAGCACAGCCTGAAAGTCTTAAATCACCCGAAACATCAACACGGGGGCCCTTTTCTTCGATGTAGCAAAGGCATTCGACAAGGTCTGGCACAACGGCTTGCTTTACAAGTTGTACACACTCAAAGTGCCGGATAGGCTCGTACACACCATCCGGGCCTTCCTGTCCAACCGTTCTTTTCGATATCGAGTTGAGGGCACCCTCTTCACAAGACGCCGCCGCCTCGGCTGGCGTAACACAAGGCTCCTGCCTCTAACCTCTACTCTTTACGCTCTACACGAGCAACATACCTAAAGACCCACACGTCAATCTCGCTCTTTTCGCAGATGACACGGCCCTGTTTTACAGAGATAAAAATCTTAATCGACTCGCTACCCGTCTCCAAAGCGCCGCCGAATGAAGAATTGAAGTAAATCCCGAAAAGAATGTAGCGATTCACTTCATACGAACTACTTACCCGTCACATCTTTATAAAGGTCGTCGTCAATGCAGAAAGCTAGGGCAAATATCTCTTTATGGCCATCCGCTCCCCTGGGAGAAAAAGGTCAAATACTTAGGAGTCACTTTCGACTCGCGTATGTCATGCACAAATGAAGAATTGAAGTAAATCCCGAAAAGAATGTAGCGATTCACTTCATACGAACTAATTACCCGTCACATCTTTATAAAGGTCGTCATCAATGCAGAAAGCTAGGGCAAATATCTCTTTATGGCCATCCGCTCCCCTGGGAGAAAAAGGTCAAATACTTTCAAATACATGAGTCACTTTCGACTCGCGTATGTTTTTTTTTTATGCGAAAAGTTGTCAAACGAGCAGACGGTTCACCTGATGTTAAGTGAATACCGCCGCCCATGGACATCTGCTACACCCGAGGGTTACGTTAGATGCGTTGACAACCTTTTGAAAATTGGGCTCCGGCTACCTCACTCATCAGACGAAACGCGAAAGTATTTGTCATACTTCCACTTTACGCTGGTCTTCTGTGAGGTCGTGGTACTTACCCGGACGGGCTTGCCCATTCGTGCAACAACCGAGGCTGCTGCGTGGCCCTACCACCGTATGTCATGCACAACGGATATTAATAACGTCCGTAACAGACCCGCGTTCGTCTCCGGCCGCCTAAGCAGTTTAAATAACCAGTCAAGTAAAATGTCCTTAAGACACAAATTATTTTCATACAAAGCCTGCGTACGGCCAATCATGTCCTACGCATGCATGATTTTCGCCCAAACGCACCCTACTCGCTTGCACAAGTTGCAAGTAGTGCAAAATAATTTCATCCGCCGCGCAATCGGTGCGCAGTGGTATCAACGCAACGTCGACCTGCACAGCGATTGCAGACTCCCGACGATTCGCGAATTTTTCAAAGACCTGACCAAACGATTCTTCGATAGAGCCCAACATCATCCCAACCCTCTGGTGGTAAGCGCACCGAATTACCAACCCGATCCAAACGTGAGTCCCGCCGGGTAACACTACACCCACACCTTGTGTAACAACAAAGACAATAGTTCGCCCTTGCCTCCCAGCACGGCGAAACCAACACAATGCGTACACAAGGTATACCCGTGTTCCAGGGCGGTTCTCACCGCCCCCAGCCACCGATTAGCTAAAAACACAGTCGACGGCCATCGGGATCTTGGCCCGCACCACAACTTCGATGGCCCTTAGATGACATGCCGTAGTTACAACTTACGCATGAGCACATGCGCGGCTTTACCCACAGCGGAGGGCCCAAACCCGTGGGTTCTGGTTAGCCCACCGGTTCTGCGTCAGATGAAGCTTTAATAGTCTCGGGACTGAAAGTTACAAACATCAGTTAATACAAGATACTTGCAAGGAAACAAGTATTCGACTCGTTGCGTTAGACAGAAAATTCTTAGAAAGTATTTTGATACCTGGTTTCTGCACCTGGTATGAGAAGGCGGACGTACTTTTAAGCCCTGATACGCGGTATAGCAAGTATAACATATCCCTAGTTGTTACACGTCAAAGTTAACCCCGGCTACCGTAAATTTTTTTTTGTTTATTTTTATTTCGAAAGGAGCTTTTATGGTATCTTGTAGTCTAGTGTCTGAGTGCTTTAATTTTATAAATTATGGGATCCCTAGCAGATCCTAAACACCAACCATCTTCTCTATTGAAATTAGGATGCTTCTTTATTTCAATAACCTCGCGGATCATCCTTGGAAGGAATCGGTGTTCTTTTACGCGAATTTTCGGCTGATCAAATCTAATGTAGTGGTTGGGGATTTCTAAAATATGATCACAAACACAAACGTTTTAGGGAATTTTGACTTAACTGTCAACAAGAAGTAGGTATAGACTGACTTGACATTGGCAGAATTCTTTAAAGAGAAGCCCTAGAGAAAGAAGAAGAAGTAGGTATACGCTGTCGTACGCTGAATACTGAATAGTGCTGTCCAGTTTCCAATCGGTATCACGAATTAAATCGTTAGAGTGGGGATTCTTTAGTCTAAAAGTGAAAATAAGTAATTATTATTATACCAGCGTTATTGTTGTGCAAAGTACAACTACGGCGATTTGATTAAAGTATTCATATCTATACCTTAGCTCGATATCACGAGCTAATACGAATAAATAACATTCTGGTTATAGCTTTACAGCGAGAAGGGGGGAGGCAATCTTTTATATTTCTAGGGCGACCAACGGAACTCGTGGAACCTAGTTTTTCAACGGGTTTTGTATTAGATGATGTTTTGTTATAATTATAGTTCCTGGACTGAAAGCGTAACTTCAGGTAATACGATCTTTACGGTTTGTCATTACAGAGGACATCATCTTTCTAAATCTGACAACATATATGGAATGATATTTTTTACTATAGATATGTTATACGCATACAAATGAACGGTCAAAAATATTAAGCTTTTTCCACACAGGAACTAACAGGGCACATTTAAATCAAATCAAAAATATATTTATTCAAATAGACCCTTTAGCATTCTTATGAATCGTCAAATTTTACATCAAAAGTTATATATATGGGTTGGTCAGGTACCACGTTTCAAACGTTTCGTTCGAATGGTAAAAAATATTATAGCTTAATTAAAGCAATAAGAAAAAAGTAGACGGCAAAAAAATCTCGATGCCGTATCAAACTTATTTGGTTTGCTGCCTTTCTTTGTGTTCTTTTCCACTTTCTTCTTGCTCGCACTCTATTAACAACCTTATCTGTCGTATAAAATATCATTCGATATAAGAAATATTTGGCAAGAGTTTTATTTTGTTTTTTGAAACTATTTTTGTTCATTAAATTTGAACAAGTAGGTACTAAGAGATAAAAACATCGAAAGAATCAGTTTTTATAAACAACTAAAAATGAAGATCATGAGTGTGAAATATTTTTTTTAATCAATTTAATGTTAAATAGGATTAATAAATAACCTGAAGTATAATAATAATCTTGAATCAAGTATCTAGGAACGCAATATTATTATTTAAACTTAAAAAAAAATCATAATTTCAAGACAGTGGGATTGCATCAAAACAAATCTTTTTTTTTACATTTGCCTTACTGTAGGATAACATTATCCTGCGTTGTAAGAATGTTTTACATACATAAATTTCACGAAACAATTATCTGTGGGTCACACAAATACGAAATCGAACTCACGACCCACGCCAAGGTATTGACCTAACCGACTACGCCACGGAGTCATCTCATCAATAGTACATACCAATTTTACGAACTCAATATGACATACATTGTGGTTACAGTAACTGTTAATGATTACTGGCGCCCATGGACATCTACTTGTAGATGTCCATGGGCGCCAGTTCGGTTGCAGATACATGGCCAATTAATAAAAAGTAGGTCCCAATTACTTCCCTCACCAGACGAATCGCGAAAGTACAACACTTCGATTTGGCGCCAATTTCATGTGAGCCACATAATAACTTTTGAAGGAAAATTAAACAAGTACCATAACATAAGTTTAGTCATTTATTTTCCACCACCAGTAAGAGAAGTATTTTTCAATACACCAATTTTTCTTAGATAACGAACAATAAAAGGTGTAGATGTTAATGTAATACCTATTCTGAATGGAGCAAAAAATTTATGTACTCCATAGGCAATTACAAACGTCCCAGCATTCGACACTGCAATTTTGGAGAGTGTACCTTCATTTATATTAAAATATTTAAGGATTGCCACTATGTCAACACCACTGCAAATAAATAAAACATTAAATAAAGAAAACCAAAACCGTTAAAACTTTCATTATTATAAGATATATGTACAATTATACTTTTTATAATACCTGAACATTAGAAAAATATTGTACATGGAAAGGTGTCAAAAATAATATAATAAAGACAATTACAGTACACTCCATTTTTGACTTCAAATATAGTATTTCTCATTTACATTTTTCTTCATTTACAGTTCATTTTATTTTCTCACTTTTTTAAATAATATTTTGAGTGAAGATAAATAATCATTTGGTATAATGTTATCCATCATGAATAATTTATATAAAAACTTCAAAAATATTAAAATAATTAGTAGAAATCATTAAAATAAAGCAATTTATTTAGAGCGCAACTATTATAAAAAATAACATACCTAGACACAAGAACATAACAGCCCCCTAAAGACAGTAAGGATATAGCAACATGAAAGACAATAACTGTAGAACCATATTCTTTTACAGCTTTTTTCAATTTGTCTTTCGCACTCATTGTTGCTTGTGTATCAGAACTCATATTCCGAGTTTGTAAAGTAAGAGCTATGCTTTGAAAAATGAAAACAATAGTTAATATACGCTTATCTTTAATGATGAGTTTACTCAATATTGCACTATCTAATATTTTATGTGCAGAACTAAAATGACGAATAGAAAAAAAATGACATAATATAGATAAGATTGAGATCATGAAATTTAGTTATAACATTAAAAACAATCAAGCAATTATTTTATAGCAAGTATATGTGGATGTATTATAAAAATAAAAAAAAGTACAACTCATTTACCTTGATTGTAGTGGTTTGCTCTATACTCATTCCTCAATGTTAAATAATGAGCACTATGCAGATTATCAGATAAATATTTGTATCCTTGTCCCCATTGAGAGCCAGGCATGCTAAGATGTGTATGGTTCCCACTAAATGGACTTGGTACATTAGTCTGCATTGATGAACAAAGATTCACTGCTCCCCGGCAATCATATTTATTAACATGCGGATCAGACTGTATTGTAATGTCTATGTCACGAAAAGCTTGCTTATACCCACATACATTAATTACTGGTCCAGAAATGTCTCTTTCTCTTAATGGGGAAAATCTTCCCATTTCTGATGCATTAATATCTATAACATTAGTAGGTAATTTAAGAATATCCGCTTGAGGCAATCTTATAGGACCAGTAATATGAATTGTTTTACTGACTTGATTTGTTCGACCACCTTTGGGAATATAATAAATTATATTGAGTTGTGCTTAATTCAATCAAACTGAAATCCTTATTTATTTTTGAACGCAATAGAAAGTAAACGAACGGTAACTTAAACAGAACGGTATGGAAAATTCCTTAGGCAAAATAATAGGACACATCATTTACTTTGTTAATATAAACAAAACAGCGTCTTACCTAGATACGTATTGAATAAATAAGGTTTTCTCTTCAAATAACAATAGTATTTTATAGAATTATTATACATTCTTGTTGACAAAAAACTGGTATTCGCAGCAATAAAACAAATACTTCCATACAAAGAGAAAATATCAAAATAATGATATACACAATTACACATACACAACAACGGAGGTCGGAGAGAAAGTAGCGCTGAGTAGGGATGGCGAAAAAATATCGATATATCTATATTTTTTTATTTATATTTATTTAAAAATAAATTTATTATTATATTATATACACACCGGCACAATTAGCGGAACACAAAAAAAAGCAGGTTTTTAAAATCTTTTACTTGAGGAACTGGCCAGTTATGATATTTTTTTAATTTATTGTCAAATTTGAAAATAGAAAATTAGATGACATACACTTTTTTCATTCGTTTGTTTTTTATTTTCCCGAACAATACGTTTTGTCAACTTGTTCGAGTAATAACTACGTAATTGTAATTTTTTTGAAAAATTGCACTTAATGGTTTTTTTATAAATTTGTTATTCTATAGGCAATGTTGTTTATTAAAAGCTCTTTATTATGCCAGACTTAACATCACTGGAAATCATTAGGGCTGATGAAATGAGAAGAAATGGCCATACCTACAGATCGATTGCCTCAAGGCTTCGTCGACCAGTATCAACGATTCATCGCAGCATCCAGCGGTACAGATCGTCTAATTCTCTTGTGAGGAGGAGGGGTCAAGGTAGAAAAAGATGTACATCGAGGCGAGATGACAGTTTTTTACAACTTGGAGTTCGTAGGAATACGCGATTAACCGCTGTACAAGCTCGAAATGAACTGGAAGACGTTCGAGGAGTACGAGTAAGTGAGCGTACAGTTCGCAGGAGATTTGAAGAAGTTTGTTTAGGGTCGTATATACCTGCCAAAGGCCCAAAACTTGAGAGACGTCACCGCGTAAACCGATTAAGCTATGCGCGAGAACATCGTCATTGGGATTTGAACGAATGGCAGCAGGTTCTCTTTACTGATGAGTGCAGAGTTCTTTTAAAACAGATCGATGGGAGACAGCGAATATGGAGACGCAAAGGAGAACGCCACATACAGTCTAATTTTGAACACACAGTGGCTTATGGTGGCGGCTCGATTATGGTTTGGGGAGGGATATGTTTGGGAGCTCGCACGGATTTAGTGATAGTCACAGGAGGGACCATGACAGCAGATAGATACATCAGAGACATTTTAGAAGAACATGTTGTACCATTTGCCCCATTTATTGGTGACGACTTTATTCTAATGCAAGATAATGCTCGTGCTCATAGTGCACAATCGGTACAGGCATATCTGAGCCACGTAGCTATACCGGTGATGCAGTGGCCAGCAAATTCCTCCCATATGAATCCGATAGAGCATGTCTGGGACTTGCTAAAAAGAAGGGTTAAATCCAGAATGCCACCCCCCAACAATCTGAATGAACTTGGAAACGCATTACTTGAGGAGTGGGAGCGGTTGCCTCAAGAAATCATCGATAACATAATCTGTAGCATGCCCAGACGAATGGAAACCGTAATCAGAGCAAGAGGGGGAAACACTCGTTATTATTTTTGCTTTAATTTTATTGTTAAATCATTTAATGCTTACTTTTTTTTATTTTTTGTGATGGTTCATAATCATCTAAAAATTTCACTTATTTCAAATTTCTTTATTTTTCAATAAAAAATAACGAAGACTTTTCAATGTCGTTGTTAAAAGATGTTAATCAATTTGTTATTTTGTGTCTAATTACATTTTCGTCAAATATATGCGTTATTATCTCATAGTCTCACTTTTTTTTCTGTTCCGCTAATTGTGCCGGTGTGTATATATATATTTTTAAAATATATCGATATTTTTGGCCGATATATTTTTATCCGATATATCGATATAAAAAATTGAATATCGTTATTGAAAATACTATCAAAAACGATATTTTTATTCAAACTGATTCAAAGCCGTAAAATTATAACTAAACTTATAAAATATTAACGGGAAAAAACTGTGGTCTATTACTAGTATTGTCGCGGATGCAGAGTTGCACTTTGTACTATGATTATGGTATTTATACTACCATTTGATGCTTAGTACTGTATACTAACCATATTATAAGTACAACATGGTATGGAGGTGTTACAAATCAATATTAATGATTTGTAACACCTCCATTTGTAAACTAAATACACACGCTTTCACAGTTCCGACGGGCTTGAGGTGGCCTGGCACACGGCGCGCCTAGCCTGAACCTCGGCGTATTATTTTTACGCGTTATGGTGATTAAGCTTGGCTCCCTTGGGAGCCTCTGCTCGGGCCGTCACGCTATTATTATCACCGGTTTGGGTGGCCGCCAAGCTCTTAGGGCGCTTTGGCGGGCACTCCATGGAGTAATCAAGCTCAAGGGTCCCCGAGAGGGGACCTCGGCTTGTGCTGTCACTCAACACGCGTTTAGCATTCCGATTCGAGGGTGCCCGAGAGGGCCGGTCCTCGGCTCAATTGGTAGCTATTATCTGACTGGATCGAGGCCGATATTGATATTTTTATAAATATCTTTGTTTTTAACTTTCGACATCCTTAGCGCTGAGTGCTCAGTGCTACTGGACCAGCGTTACTTACTCTCGAAAATATTAATTGTCCCCAAAGTTTCAGTGAAAATCCCCTAATAATATTATTAAAAAAATTATAAATAGCTCAAAGATTTGCCTTAATTTCCACATTAATTGAATAATACACTGAAAGATATTGCAGTGAAAATGTTGGTCATATGAAAAGTATTTATACAAAAAATTGACTGAAATCAATTTTTTTTTAAAAATTGCTTACGATGATTTCTTTAGACGACCAAAATTTTTTCCGTAATTTCAAAAATGTGATTCATATTGAATGATTAAAAAATTATTACTATTACGCTTTCCTTAAAGTCCCATTTACATTGGTCAAGTACAGTGGCGGCCACCGGACAAGTGGCTGTTTATTGAAATGGACGAGCAGTACGTGCAATTTTGTTGCCTGTTTCCGGCCACTGTACTAATTTGAATGAATAAACTATGGCAAGTGATGAGTCAAGTGCCTCTACTTCCACGGCAGCTTGCAAGCCTTTACACTACTGTACTTACAAAGTGTACTTGTCTTCTTTACTAAATACATACTTGACCAGTGTAAATCGGGCTTAAAATTTATCCTGCACTCAAAGGCGGATCCAGGGGGGGGGGGGGGGGTTGTGACCCCCCCCTGGGCTCGGTCCAGGACCAAGGTGGACAACAAATAAAAACATATATAAAAAAATTTTAAACAATGTTTTTATATATGTTTTGCCACAATATAGATTTTATGTAATTACCTTTAATATTTAATTAATTTAATATAACATTTTTAATCGACTTCAAAAGGAGGAGTTTCTCAATTCGATAGGTATATATTTTTTCGATGTATGTACACCGATTACGTTGAGATTTATGATCCGATTTACGTGATTCTTCTTTAGTTTGATGCAGAATAGTTGCCATTTGGTCCCATAAAAATTTAACATAGTTTGGCGAAGTAGTTTTTATTTTATGAACATTTTTACAATATTTAATGTTTGTCATTAAAAAAAAATTAAATTGCAAATTAAATTTGATTCACTTGCGCGTCATCGGTTGCAGTGGCAGTCGTACATGTGTAATGTGTACAAAATTTCAGCTCAATCGCGAGACAATGCAATATTTTTATGACATGTTGCTGATCTGATGATGGAGCTGGAAGGTGGCCAAAGGAACTTCGCAATGAAACGACAGAGCCACATGGCGTTTGGGTACATTTGAATCGTATTGACGAGTAGTTTGTCTTTCATTGGTAACCAGGATCTGATGATGGAGCTCCATCTTCAGCCGTCCATGGACATATGCATAGGGTTGCAGATGCGTTTCCTCCTTATAATAAAGTTGGCCCCAGCTACGTCACTCACCAGACAAAACGCAGAAGTACTTTATGGCGATCTTCTATGAGGTCTATGAGGCTATTCTGTGAGGTTCCTATGACCACTCTGTGATGAAAAGACTCAACCAGATCGAATTTCGGCTCGTTTGATTCGTGTTGGCTAGTACTTTATTTTAAGATTGTTACCAGGGTCTGATCTAATGATGGAGCTGGAAAGTAGTCATATGCGTTCGGAGTAGAGAAACTGAAAAATATTATAACCAATACGACTACATAAAATCTGGTAACGAAGAAATAAATAAAAAGAAATTTCAAAAATAAGTAAGCCTACCAATAGCTACTTAAAAAAAATTCTAATTAATGTATTAAATTAAATCTTTATTAAGTTATTTTGTACCGTTTGGTTTTTGAAGTCGGTTTTTTTAAATGTAGTTTTTTTGAATTTTTGTATGATTCCAAACGCACTATTCAGGAACGAGCGCTTCGAAAATCTACTTTTTTTACTACATATACCTTTTATAGATTTTTAAAAGCTATAAAATATTAAAAAAGCTAAAACCGTTTTGCTTGTTTTAACACTATACCTAAAGCATTACTTAATAGGTATACCTAATAACTATTCGATTTACTACTATTTTCCGTTAAACGTGCTAATTGCCGAGACTACTAATAATTAAAAATGACTCTGCTCCTTTAATTTAAAGGTGGGATTTCTGGTAATTAACCTAAACAGATAACGCGTTTCGGGAGAAGACGTAAAAGAAAAATTTATTTTGTTGTTTAAATATAGTATTTTCAATAACAGTAAGTACTTACATACATATATATGAAAAGTTTTTTAACAAAAAAAGAACCGACTTCAAATCAAATTATGTACGTAACTATTACAAATCGTACAACATGCAAAACAATGCATATTTTTGAGATAGCAGCAAACACTATCGTTATTAAATACTTTTCACGGACAATTTTTATCTTTATTCTTCATTCTTCAACTCCGCATTCTTAGTAATTAAAAACCGTACATTAAAAAACGTAGTTGTAGCTTTGTTAATAAATAAATATGATTGAGTAGATTGCGTTACTTCAGACCCTTTATTTTTCTTCATCAAAGAAAATAACAGAAAT